GGGACTGATAAGTATAATTATTACCTAGTGCTTTTCTCAGGAATATCTAGGCCAGTCCTTACTATTACATCAATTTCCTTTCTCTGGGATGGCAAAAGGAGGGTAGGATTTTCTAAATGCTGAATCACATGTGCCAAGCAAAGCTTTGCTGTCCTGGAGGCCAGGTCTCATCCTACTTTCTTTCTTGATAAAAATTACTCTTTCTAATTCAATCTTGTCCTCCTCCACATGTTGCTGGTTTATGAAAGCAATTTTAAAAAAGGCTAGACTATCATATATAAGTTTAGAATTATGGAAAATGTGATGTACACACCACTAGCTGTGCCCCCAACCCTCCAAGCCACTGACTGTCAATGAGGTATGTATGTGTGTTCTGCCTTAAACTTTCTCCTTATCTTCACTGGGCTTTTCTTGCTTTTTGAAAGCCTCTGAGCAGGAAATACTCCTTCTGCACGTGGAGTTGAGTCTTCCCAAGGCCTTCTAACCCCATTTCCCTGATCTGCTGAGGGACCTTACTCCAACTGAGCCTCTCTTTCACTGCTGTTTTCTCCCTGTCTATAACCATGCTGCGCTCTCACCCACTCTGAAAAAATCCACTGTCCTATGTCCTGCTCAACTATTATTTATTTATTTATTTGCAGTGCTGGGATCAACCTCAGTGCTAGGCAAGTGCTCTATCATTGAGCTACGTGCTCAACCAATTTCTTTCCTTTTCTTATCATTCAACACATCCAAAACTGTACAGAATTATTCAAGCCCCTTGGGAGCCTTGGCTGCCTTCCAACCATTCACTTAGCCTCTGACCAGCTGGTGATCAAATCGAACAGCCTCTTTTAGGCCCTATCCCTTCGCCCTTGCTTTCAGCTAAATTTGACAAAGCTTCACTGACTAGCCTGACTACATCCTTTACACACACACACACACACACACACACACACACACACACAACAATGGCTGGAGATGTAGCTCAGTGGTAGAACACTTGCTTACCATGTGCTAGGCTCTGGGTTTGATCCCTGGCACTACAAAACACAACAACCAAAAACCAACCAAATATCTCCATGAATCAATATGCTAGGCATGGTGGCTGACACCTGTAATCCTAGCTACTTAGGAAGCTGTTATCAGGAGGACAGTGGTTCAAGGCCAGTTGGGGCAAATAGTTCTCAAGACCCCACCCTGAAAATATTCAACACTAAAAAGGGCTTCGGAGTGACTCAAGTGGTGGAACACCTGAGTAGCAAGTGTGAGGCCCTGAGTTCAAACCCCATTACTGCCAAAAAAAAATCAATAAAAGCAAAGTTTTTAAAGAGTATTAGGATTTGCTTGTAGTATAAAGTTAGGGGAGAAAATTGCACAGACAGAATCACCTCAACCATATGGATTTAGACAGCCTGGGGGAATGAGGAGCAGTTATAACCAAGTGGTGGAACTACAGGCTATTTTTGTTATTCCTCTAACTCTTTCTGTATTTTCTATATTTTACAATAAGCCTTAAAAAAAAAAAAGTAAGGGACAATAAAAGGGACATTTTTCTGGTTTGCCACCTGCTGGTGAATTTTAGCAACATCCAGGTTAAGATAAATTCAGTGCTTGCTCTTTCCCTTTCTCTATTCTCTGAGCTCCCTTTGCTCCCATATTTCTTTCATATATTTCTTTTGCATTATGTAATCCCTTTTCATTTTTGTCTTTTAAAATTTTTTCACATAATTTTATTATGGGGATTAATATATCAGGCCCTAGCTATTTTCAATTTATTGCAATTCTTCCATATTTGTATCTCTTTCTGGCACCTTCTACCCTGACTGGGCCTAATTAATAACATGTACTCACAGTGGAGACGGGGTGCTTTCAGGTCTGGCCAAGAGCCCTCGTGCAAATGGGTCTTAGTTGAAGGTGTCAGAAGACGTGGTGAAAGTGCAGTCCATTCTCTGCAGGCACACTGAGTCACTATTGGCAAGCGGTACCCTTGGTTGAATTAGCTGGTACTCTCTGGCTGCTATGAAGGGTGGATTTGAGGAAATGACTAAGAAGAAGGAGGGTCATTAAGAGGCTGATGCAATAGTGGTCTGGTATGAGAATATGAGAGCTTCAGCAAGGAGCCACAGTAGGTATGGAGTGGATTAGACAGATCAGAGAGCTAGCTAACAGGTGGAAGAGGCCAGGGTTCCCATAGAAGGGAAGTTTCCAACTTGGGTGCCTTCAACTCAGGCAACACAGCATGTAGGTAAACAGGATATGGAAAGGCTAAGTGTGAGACAGTATCAGCATAGCCATGCAGATATGTTCAGCAGCCAGCAGGAGTTAAGGGTTGGAGAGAGATAGGACTGTTACTGATATGAGGGTGCAGCTGAAACCAGAAAAAATGATTGAGTTTGCTTTAGGAGCAAACACAGCCTAAGGGAAGGAGAGCTGGACACAGAAGCTGGGCCCATCAGCATTAAAACGATAATGCTGCAAAGGAGAAGGTCACAAAGGAAACAGAGAAGAGTTAAGTAACATAAGGGCTAAAAACTCATTACTTAATTTGGTTATTAGGACAGACCTGGGAACCACAGAGAAGAGTTTGCACAGAGTAGCAGCAATGGAGCCAGATTGTGGGGGAGCTGAGTGGTCATCTGTGAGTGGAGGTTCCAAGTGTAGACTCTCCTTCAAAGAAGTGTGTATGAGGAAGGATGCTTGAGATGGAATATTAACCAGAAGGGACTACAGGGTGCACAAATCAGAGGACAAAATGAGATGATCTGGCTAAGCTGCTTAGCACAGTAACATGTAATAAGTGCTCAGTAAACATAAATTGTTACTATTGTACATACATTAACCATATAATAATATTAAAACTTGCTCTGTGAGAGGACTATTGTATGACTTATAACAAATGTACAAAGGGAACAACAATCCCTGTCTAAGATGCTTACAGACCAGTGGGGAAGAGGGAAGTAATTAAAATAAATAACTCAAATCACATCCTATATTTGCTAGTGGTAAATGCCAAGGAGAAAAGCCAGGGGAAATTTTATTGAAAAAGGAATAAAATTTTAGATACGAAGGGTTGGGAAGGTAGCTTTTAGGTAAAGACCAAAAAGAAGAAAGGAAAGTGACTATAATTAGGATGTGAGGGAATAACAATAATTATTATGATCACTGCTATTAGCATTTTAACATATTATTATCACAGAAGTATACTGCCATTACATGTTATTATTGCTTTGCTACAATTAATGCTATTGTAGTCACTGTCATCTCTGGCTGTTGAATCATTTCAATAGTGGCCCTCTAGTATCCAAGGTTCATGTCACAAAGGTATGTGGAACTACTGGGAAACATAAATTTGACACGTCACAGTCACTGGCCAGTTTGTAAGGATGGAAGCAAACGGATGCATGGAAACTGATTGTACATGCAGGAGATGCAAATAAGAAATTGCTGCTGAGCATGCTGATACACACCTGTAATCCCAGCACTTGGGAGGCCGAGGCAAAAGGATTGCAAGTTCAAGGTCAGCAGCCTGGGCTACATAGCAAGATCTGTCTCAAAACAAAGCAAAACAACCCAAAAACCAAAAAAAGGAAGGAGGATGGGCTTTCTGTGTGTGTGCTGAGGGGAAGGCAGGCTAGTACAGGCTGATCTTTGGGGTTCACCTGGACATTTGGAACACCCACACCAGAGGATCATCTTCAGACCACAAAGACACCTATACAAAGATTATTTCTGAAGCAACAGAATAATAATCATATCTTAAATCAGCATAGATGCAGAATGTGTGATGTAGAGGTCACAAGACAGGACTGTGTTTCTACAAGAACATTTATTTGGTGGTTAAGGATAGGAATCTGCCAACGTTATTGGGGAATAATTAAGAGGAACTGGAAAATCTTGCTATTTACCAAGGCAAGCACAATGCTGAGAGTAAGGTGGGTGTGTAATAACTACTTGCTGGATTACACGGAACAGAGGATTAAATCTTGCTTATGACTGATGCATACCATTTTTAAAAAGACTGACTTGGACTAATAATTATTCTTTGCAATTCAGAGAAAATGATCAAAAAAGAAACAGAAATAAAGGGGAAAAAAAACAGAAAAGGAATCTAAATGTCTAAGAGCTTATCTTACCTTTACTCTGTTTAAGAGGCTACAATACTTTTTAAAGTGATAATGTCGAGTGCTTCATTTCTCTACCAACAGACACTTCGTTGGGTGGATGGGATGGCACAGGAAATATAACCTGTGCGTTTTAAGTACAAAACCCCATCTGGAGGTCTCTCTCAAGTGGTAGAGTATCTGCCTAAAAACAAAACCTCATTCTTCAACTCAGGTTAACAGAAAAGTTTTACAAACATCTTAGTTGCATTTTTTAGGTTGCATTTATTACCTCAGAGGGCCAGTGTAGAAGTTGTCTATTAAGAAAACAAAAACCAAAATATTAAAAAAAAACTTTTAAAGATTAAAACTTTACTTCTTAACTAGGTGTGCTCAGAATATAGGCAAGTTTTCATTAATTCCTTATGTCTTTATGAATAGATAATAAGCCCTCCTATCTATGAAATCAAACTTGAACCATTGCAATGGCCAAATAAAAGCTATAAAGGAAGAAATTAAATATGCCAGTTACATTCTACAGCTCAAGCTAATAGAAATTATGCTATATTTTTAGTATCATTGCCTTACCACACAGTATTTATTACCACACATTTTCATATATTTACAAAGGTATATACATTACATTCATGCATGTTACATGCTTCTTAAAGGATTCCAGAGATTGACTTCCTAAACATTATCTAATTCTACTTTGCAGTTAGAAAATGTGAAATTATAGGCTGTGGAAAGGTCGTGACTAAGCTCAGGATTCCACAACATGCTAGTCATGGAGCAAGAAACCCAGACTCCTGGTCAGACAAGAAGTCCTAGCCAGAGAGGAGCAGGCAGGAGGAGAGGATGAAAATAGCGGCTACTGATTAATTTCAGTGACTCTGTTAATGACTGAAGGAGCAGGACATAAGTTACCATGAACTTTATTGCCCCCTTCTGGACACATCTTTATGTCATCGTGCTGTGGTCAAAGCCCTGAAGGACATTAGTTCTTGATGTGAGCTGCTGGGCCAGGGTTCCAGTTATGTCTGCAGAATCCTTCAGCCCCGACTGCTGGAGAAACTTGGCACAAGCTAGGTGCTGACCTGCACAGGCCAGATGCAGGGCTGAGGAGTGAGAAAAGTGACATAGACTTAGAACACGACCTCTAAAACAACACTGACTGCATGAGGTCATTCAATTACGCAGGTTTTATACTTCCACAATCCATCCTGATGACTTTGCTTATACTGGATCACAATATTCTTTTAAAGCATCTGAAAATACTTTTAAAGATAACAAACCAATAAGAAACAATTTAAGGAACTTTCTAAAGCAACAGAGCAAATTAATGGGAAGGAGGGAACAGGTTCTGCTCATGCTCACTCCTATTCATCATCCAAACACAGTTTTAATGGCACAAAAATTTTTCTCAGCGTTTTGTTGAATCCTCTAAATAAAAATCACCGTGGATAAGAATGATGTGACAGAATCTGCTGACTCGTATTTTCAACATAGGTGTAGGAATTAGCACTGAAGGGTCGCAGTGTGTTGACAGCCAGAGAGCACTGCTGGTTCTGCAGCCTGTTCCTGAATTGCAAGCTTGAGTCCCTACTGGATAAGCAAACACCCCTTCTGGCTTTGGAGTGAGAGTCTTTGAAGCATGAAGACCCCACTGAACCCTTTCAAGATGATCTTTGGCTTAGAATACTAAGCAGAGAGTTTATTCTAAAGCCCAAGTTTAAAGGATTAGCTCTGAGCAGTGCCAGGGGTGTAGGTAGGGGTGAATCATATGGTCATCATGAGGCTCTGGGTTTGATCCCCAGCACCAATAAAAAGCTCCCAAGCCACAAGGAATTTTTACAGAACCTTCACAGCAGATGTCCCCAAGGATTTAGACAGAAAATGCTTTTATGGCCACGCATGGTCATTTTGTTTCCTATCTCAGAAACAAAATACAAAAAAAAGGACTGGGAGTATGGCTGAAGCGGTGGAGTGCTTGCCTAGCATGTGCGAGGTTCTGGATTTCATCTCCAGTATCACAAAAAGGAAAAAGAAAATGCAGGTGTGGTGGTACATGCCTGTAAATCCCAGATACTCAGGAGGGAGAAGACAGGAAAGCTGCCAGTTCAAGCCCAGCCCAGGCAAAGTAAGTAAGACTCTATCTCAAAAACAAGCGGGCTCATATAAAATAAAAACGGAAAAATGAGGCCTGTTGAAAGTATTGCAGGAATGGGGGCATAAAGGAGAATGATGGAGGAGGTGAACTTAATTATAACATATTGTAAGAACTTTTGTAAATGTCACAATGTACCCCCAGTAAATATGATAATAAAAAGAGAGGGAGGGGAGAAAAACAAGCTGGATGTGGTGGTGCATCCCAGGTACTTGGGAGGCAGAGGTAGGAGGATCAGGATTCAAGACCAGTCTAGGCAAAGTTACTTGAGATCCAGTATGAAAAACAAACTAAAAGCAAAAGGAATGGGCATGGTTCAAGTGGTAGAGGCCTGCCTAGAAAGCATGAGGTCCTGAGTTCAAATCCCAGTACTTCCAAAGAAAACAAAAGGAAAAAGTGCTTCCATGCCACATGCATTAATGTGGTTTAAAGTGAGGACAGTAACAAGGGCAGCAGTAAGTGGCTGCCTCATCATTCTCTAGGCAAAAGCAAAAGTCTATAGTTCTGCAAACAGAGGAAAAAGTATTTTGAGGAAAAGCTACTGAGGTACTAGAAGAATAATATTAAAACCAATGGGACTGGTTTTTTTGTGTTTTTGTCTTTTTGAGACAGGGTCTTGCTATGTAGCCCAGACTGGCCTGGAACTTGGGATCCTCCTCCCTTAGCCTTTTGAGAGCTGGGATTACAGACATGCACCACCACGAACACCTAAAACCATTTTTTTTTCCTGCATTACTGGGGATGGAACCCAGGGCTTTGTGCATATTAGCCAAGTGCTTTACCACTGCATTACACTCTCAGACCCAAACCAATGTTTTCAATATGAAAGCATGTATACCGTTTACACTTAATACCTGATCGATTTCGTCCATCTTTAGAGTTGATGTCAGCACCCAAGGATAACAGAGTCTGAACTGTGCTTGTGTGTCCTTCCTGAGTGTTGAAATAAATTCATTATCACTGTGATGAGGACAAAAACAAACCTTTAAACACCATCTATAGTGCACCTTAGGCACTTTTTCTAAAACAGTCAACTACAAAAACTTAATTTTCACAGCTAAAGGAAGACTTATGATATCACTCTCAACTTTGATATACATCATTGAATATTTTGGAAACAACTACTAGGATTTAGATGATCCAGTTTGTATGGGTTTCCATCAGTATAAGTGATAAAAATATTATGATTTGTACAGAACCCACAATTCCAAAATTTCCCAAGTGAATATACTCTTTCCTAAAATATTTAAGGTAGTTTCATAAACTATGAAAGTTTGTAATGTCTCATAAAAGATAATCTGATTATAGCTAGTTTATCATTTGTAAAGTAATTTATGCACTCTTTGTCTGCTCAGTAGTCCATTATCGTATGTGGTGAGACAAAAATCAATGCTTCAGGTTCAGTCTTTCTGTGGAGGAAACACTAGCTTGTCTCCCCTCATGACCACAGATAAGAACCTCAGTTCATCCTTACATGCCTACCCACCTGCTTACAAGGGGAAAATAAGGTAGGAGAATGTAGTGGTTGAAAAAAAAATTGATCCCCACTCTTAGAAAAGCAAGTAAAAGCATGTGGCCATTAAATAATGTTTGGTAATACTCAAGGTGACCAGCACTTTGAAGTGAAAAAATTTTGCACATCTTCAATGTGCAAATGAAAGGACCAGTAAATGTAATTTCTTTATTCCAGTTAAAAAAATTTTTTTTCAGTACTAAAGGTTGAACTGAAAGATCTCAATGTCTAAATCCAGCGTAAGGATACAGAACTACAACTTTCATACAACGGATATTTATTGCTTTAAATAACATTCCTGAAAACAAAAAAGTTGGTACATAAGGTCCACATATTGTATGGAGTAAAGTTTTTTACTCTTCAGTTTTTGCACAAAAATAAATAAAGACTGGTTTCTTTGTAAAGAGATTAAGGACTTCAGAATGATAAACATTTCAGGAATACAGGCAATAATCTTCCACAGAGATGAAGCCAAAGAAACGAAGATGATAGAGCTATCCATCAGCAGAATAAAGCAAGAATAAGTAAGACATGGATGCTGCCATGAGACAAAAACCAACCTTAGCTGCATAATGAAGTGCTGTGAGGTGGGTTGATGTTGCTCTCACATCTACATCAATGCCAAGATCAGACACCAAGAATTGTATGGCCTCATCCTGGCCAGTGACTGCTGCCCTGTGCAGAGCCTGGGCCCCCAGGCTATCCTTAGCTGAAAAGCAAACCTAGTCAACAGGAGAGAGGAGCAAAGATGAGAAGCAGAGAAACCTGGGTCTATATGCCTGCTGATGATTTTGTAAACTTAGCTGTCTATATACATTTCTCTGGGCAGAAGATACAGGAGCATTTGTCTGATTCTCAAAGGACTTAAGCATCAATACTCCAGCCTCCACACACAGTGTTGTCTGGGCCAAAAGTGTTGTCAGGGACAATTTGTTGTTATTATCAGAGAGCTACTATTTATTGACTACTTAATTTGTTAAATGTTCTATGTACATTATACTATTAAATATATGTAGGAGCCTTCTGAAGAAATTAAGTTTGTCTCCATTTTCTAGTTGGGAAACTGATACACTGGTGTTTAGAAGGTCAAGGGGTCCTACAGGGAAGTTGGCAGAGCTGGGATTTGAACCTGGAATCTGAATAACAATGTGTTCTGCTTATCCTATGATTTAAAATTTGTAGGAAGAATCAAAGAAATAAAACAAAACCGCTTGTATACCTTGTGTTTTTCAAGAAGCAGCCTGGCTATGTCAATGTGACCACACTGAATTGCATCCATAAAGGGGGTGACACCACAGTTGTCTTTGCAGTCTGGTTCATACTGGCACCTAGAGCCCAAACACCAAATCATACAGCTAAGAACATTCATCTCTTTAAACCCAATGGAAAGGTGTCAATCACCTGCAAGTAGACTATATGCTTGAATGGTTTGTGAGTCTAGAGCTGTCTCTTCCCGTTCTCTCCATCTCAGTATCTGAATTGAGCTCTAGGTCTTTGAGACTGGCTCTAACCTTCTCCACCCCATGTGATGGAGCCTCTCCAGCTTCTCATGCAAGAAACTATGAAGTCATCCTTGCTACTGCCTTTCGCTTTTCTCTCATAACCAACCCCCTATCCAAATCTTTCAATAATGCAGCTAAACTATTTAAAAGGTCTATATCCTTTCCTCTACTGCACTTGTATCCTTTCAGACCAAGTTAACTGGTAACAGCCTAATGTGCTTCTCACCTTGACTCCTACCTCACCCTGCCATTCTCCACAGCAACCAAGGTCCTCTTTCAAAATGTAAATGGATAAAGTCACTCCTTAAAACATCCAGATGCTCCACACTGCACAAAGGACAAAACACCTCCAAGGGACAGGAGCATGGGCACCTGCTCTCATCTCCAGGACTTACTCCTCCCTTCAGGCTTACTGGACTCCTGCAGTTTCCTGGTCCTTCCCCTGCTGGCCTTCAGCTTGGAACATTCTGCTCCATGCTTCCTTGGCCAGCACCAAATCACTCTTCAAGTTTCACTGTAATGAAACCTTGACAAAAGCCTTTCCTTACCACCCTCAGTCTACATATGGATCTTTGCTCTCTCCTAGCACTCTGTACTTTCCTATGTAGTATCAGTTTGTAATTCTAGGATTCTTTTTTTTTCTTCTGAGACAGGGTCTCATTTTGTAGCCCAGGTTGGCTTTGAACTCATGATTTTCCTGCCCTAGCCTTCTGGGTGCTGGGATTACAAGTGTGTACCACAATGCCTACTTTTATAATTCTAGGATATTTATTTGTGGGATTATTCATTATACTTGTTTTCCACACTAGCCTGAGGGCTCTACTTAAAGAAGGACTATGTTTATTTCATCACCCAGACCTAACACATGAAGGTGCTCTTAAAATATTACTTGAATGAAGGAAAGAACTTCTATAAATCTGCAGACAACCAAGGATGTCTCCATCTGTGGAAGGCAAGCCCTTGGCACAGCAGTGTTTTTGGGGTCCAGTGTCGATTACGCCTCTCTTCTCTAAACATACTTTGTTAGATAACCTGAGGAGTCAGGTTATCTCTTCTATTCTGGCCTCAAATCCTCATTTCTATGCTGGTAAGCCTCACATTTGTATCCTGGCCCATCTGTGTCTCTATCCCTGCTTGAATATCTCATAGGCACCTGACACTCATCATGTCACAAAGTGAAATTATCATCCCTCCCCAAACCTGCTCCTCTTCAGTGTTCAATGCTTCAACAAGTAGTACTGGTGCCACAACCCGAAAGTCATCCTGATGTTCCCTTCTCCCTCATCCCCTTGATTTATTTATTTTCTGTGATGATGGGATGGAATCCAGAGCCTTGCACGTTAGGCAAGTGCTCTATCACTGATCTACATCCGTAGCTCCTCTTTCATCCCCTTTATCAAATTAATCACCTACCCCCCGTTGATTTTACTTCTTAGACACCTCCAAATCCTCCTCTTCATCCTTACAGTCATTACCTCAGTCCAGCTACCATCATTTCTCTCCCCAACTTCCCAAATTGTTTTACAGTAACCTCAAACACCCTCACTCATCCATTCTCTATTTTGTAACCAGAGGATTTATGATCTTTGAAAACTGCTAATTTCTTATCACCCCTTGGCTTAAAACCCTCCAACAGCATCTAACATGCTTAGAATAAACTCAAAACTTTTTAACATGGTCTGTAGTATCCATGTGCCCTTCAGTGTTTAGGCTTCACTATAGCCTGAACTTCTAGTTTCTCAAATGTACATGGTTTTCCTTGACTCAAAGTGATCTCTTGTTTCCTTCTTGCATTCTTTCTTTGGGTGACAGCTGAGATCCTTATTCCTAGCCATGCTGGCTCCTCCTGTTACTCCCTTAGAAACCCTACAATTCTTCACAATGTTCATAAGCCTTAGAGGGCTTGCTCAGTCTTAACTTCCTGCCAGCTTGTGATTCTGTTTGATCTGTTTAAGTAAAATTGATATTAACTCCTACTTCTAACTAACAAATAATTTTTCCCAATTTACTGTTTTGTTCTTACCTCTCAAGAAACACCTTTACTGCTTCTAAACAGCCATGCATTGCTGGGAGAAGAGAGGTGAAAATTAGAGCTTTTTAGTGATACTTTAAAAAGTTTCTTGGGATGTAGCTCAGTGGCTCAGTGTTTGCCTAACATGCTCAAGGCCCTAGATTTGATCACTGGCACTGAAAAGAATAAATAAAAGAAGATCTTCTTTTCTCCTGGCTCTCCTCTCTGCTCCTTTTAGTTATGACTTCTAGTAATGAATACATACTTATACTTACTACTTATAGTAATGAATGTTACTGCCTAAAAGAATAAAATCCAACGATTAGTGGTAGAGAAGAATATTTTCACTTTGCATGAACGTAGCCAACACTTGATTATGTTACTTTCATGGTAAACTTCTAATCCTAAACTTATCTTCTCACTTTTGTGAATCTCAATGGACAGTCAGTCACATTTTATCCAAGAAATGAAAAACATCTTTGCATTAATTTTGTATGTTTGCATTAATCCATGACAAAATAACTGGGAATGCAGATCTCCTACTAAAAATAACTATACTCAATAATAAAGATTTTGACCATCTATCCTTCACTTATTTTGAGTGAATGATAGGATGCTACTTCTCCAAGGGAGTGTTTTGGGTGTGTGTGTGAGAGGAGGGAGGCGACTGAGTAATTTATGAGCTAGACAAATGTTTTTCTACTTTCTTGCAATGTTTTAGAAATGATTCTTTGGTCCCTAAGTGCCAACTGTGGTTAGAGAATAATTGGATGTATATTTCCTAGACTATATATTTTAGAGAAAATAAAAGTTGTATATCCTAATTCAATGTACTACCTAGAAGGCTAGGTTATTATCCAAATAGGCTTTGTTATTTTCCAAAGTTCTTGTTCCAGATTCTTGGGTCCCCTTTAATATCCACCTACTGTCACAGCAATTTTGCTTTTCCTTAATTAATTACTTAACTAATTTTACTTTTTTTTTTTTTTTGCAGGCACTGGAGTTTGAACTCTGGGCCTCATGCTTGCTAGGCAGGTACTCTTACTGTTTGAGCCACTCCAGTCCTTTTTTCTTAACTTAAAATAATCTAGAAGCACCTAATTTAAGAGTAAGGCTAACTACTGTAACCAATGAAAACTGTACCCCCATTTGACATTATCACTAGATAAGTCAAAGACACTTGAGGCCAGCTACCTATAACCATTTATATTTGCTTAAACATATAGCACTATGGTGTTATGAAGGATATGAAGAAATGTCCTTTTTCATCCTGCCTTTAGTATTAATATGAGAATGACTTTTTAAAAAAAAAAAGCAGTAACCAGTTATTCCGTGCCCACTGTGCCAAGGACTGTGCTAAGGGACTCACATAAATTTGTACTTTCCTCATCAGGAGGAAATTTGTACTTTACACGAGGTCAAAGACTTTGTAACGAACAGACCAGCTTACCAACTAACTATCTAGGGAGTTAGGACAGATATATATGAAAAGTGAACTAACACTAGCCAGTTACACTAGTTTTAGAAATGTATCATCTGGGGCTGGAGACATGGCTCAAGGGGCGGAATTCCTGCTTGGCAAGTGCAAGGCCGAGTCCAAACCCCAGTACCATAAAAAATGTGTTGTCTGCCAAAAGGCCCCAAGATGTTCTTACTCCCTGTTCTTAATTTTCCCTAATCGTCCATTCTCCTATGGGTGACTAGAACATGATGACAGGCAATGTTGGGTGAAGCAGGCTGCACGTGTGCCTGTGTGCCTACAGGTCTGCAGGCTGTACCTGCCATATGCCTATGGGTCTGCATGCTGTACCTGCTGTGTGCAGAGGAGTTCTTCTAATTTTGCTTTCTGTCTTCCAGGCATCTGGGCAAACAGTGAGCAAGTATTGGAGGATCAGAGGGTCACCTTCTCGACTGGCAATGTGGAAACTGTTCCAGCCATCTTTGTTCTTCAGGAGTGGATTGGCACCATGTTCCACAAGGTCCTGGATAATCTCGAGATTATTCTTTGTGCAAGCCATCATCAGAGAAGTCCTAAGGCCAACCAGGACAAGCTGTTAGATGGAAGCTGCTGAGACATTAAAAGTGAGGGGCCAGGTCTTGAGGCAATGCATGCACTTGGCACAGATGGAAAATCTAGAGGACTTAGGGGTCTGGGAAGCAGGAAAAGAGCTTTAGAAAATCCTCTGCCTATTGTGAGGACCCTGGGAGATTTAAGAGAAAATGATTGTGAGTGTGCACCTATAGGACTTGGGTACCTGGAAGGCAAAACTGCTCATAAACCAGGACAGTAGTGAACTGGGCCAGAGCTAATAAAAACAATAGATGACCCTCATAATCAGGTCTATTTCTTTACCACAGTGGGGAAAATGTACTTTGTTATATAGCTCTATTCTGTGTCTTCCCACTCCTTGCAAGGTTGGGGATGGAACCCAGGACCTCATGCATGCTAGGTAAGTGTTCTACCACTGAGCTACATACTGAGTCCCTGTATTTTTATTTATATAAGCTCAAGAATCACCTGAAGGCAGGAACTCCTTCATGTTATGAACCTTAAGGAACCTGACATAATGAGTACTAAAAAGGATGCCAATCTAACAAACAAGTGGTGTTGTTCTGTGTGATGGTACAGTATCTGCAATGTTATGATGGTGGTTAAGAGTAGAGGTGATAAAAACCCCACAGTGCATGTGTAACTGCACTGTACCAGGTGTATCTGTAAGAACAGCAACAATGTCATTTCAAATAATGCAGCTTGTGAAGTAGAAATTTAGATACATGCCCTTGGAAGAGTATCAGATCCAGTAGTACACACAACTCACTGTCTGATATTCTATACTATATATTTCTATACTGTCTCACAGTGGGAAGTGATTGCCCCAACCGAACAGTTAACCCCAGAGGGCAGGAAGGCTGGGCAGGATGACCCTTGCCAATGGGCAGACACCTTATTAGGTGAGAAGTAGGAGCTGAGAAAAGCTTTGTTGTCGATGAGGACGGACCGAGGATGTACATGAAAATCTACGATTCTGCCAGGAGTGGGGAGGAGGGTGTTCTTTTGGACCCTCGCCACCTACCAGTCGGCCTTCTTTAGGCAGTCGACCGCCGCCCCTCGGCCCAGCAGATAGCGCACGCAGTCTCGGTGGCCCATAGAGGCAGCCTCATGCAGAGGCCGCTTGTAGTCTCGGTTGGCGGCCTCGATATCCATGCCCCAGGCCTCGGCCAGATAGGCGAGGACGTCCTGGCGCCCGTGGCGGGCGGCACAGTGCAGGAGGGTGTCCCCGGCCGGTCCCTGGCAGCCTCCTGCCTCCTGCAACTCTTCCTGCAGGGCGCGCAGCTGGCCTTCCTGAACCAGCCTGCAAAGGCGCCGCGGGTCACCAGGCGGGGCCATCACCTTAGGCCCGGCTAGGAGCGAATGGGAGGGACACCGAGCCCTAGACCTCCGAGGCGGAGACCCGTGACACGGTAGGTCGGGCAAGGCTGAGAGGTAGCGAGAACTTCCGCTTCCTGCACTTGACCCTCCTCCGAGACGCCCCGCCCCCGGCCTGATCGGTCCCTTACTGAGCTGCCTTCCCCAGCATCCTCACGCCCCTTGTCCCCGGGCAGACGCCGTAACTCCCACAGCAGTGGTGATTCCTTAGGGAACGGGACAGACGGCGGTGAGCACGCTTGCGGGCCGCTCGGGTCAGCGCGGTCCAGGTGTGCAGTCTAGGTGGGACTCTCGGCTCCGAGAGCTCATGCAGCTCGGGATACGTGGGCGCATCTGTTGTCCTGAAGCTGTACCTGCACGGGAGCGAGTTGGGACCCAAAACGTCAGGGAATGGGGGTGAGCTGCTCTAACGCAAAGCCCTAAAGCTTGAGGGGCCTGCGGGTTACCTCGCATTCCACCAGGGTTGGAAAGCTCCGAAGGCAGCCGGGCCTGAGCGTGGCCTGCTCTCCACCGCCGAGGCCATGCGGCCCTTCCCCTGCAGCCTGCCGGGCACTCGTGTACGGTAGGGATGAATGCCCGGGGGCTGAAGCGTGCCAGGACCTCCCTCTGCCCAGTCTCGACACCGTCCGGCTTTTGGAGCAGCTTCGGGATGGGGCGGTGTTCCCGTGCTCCGCCTCCTCGTCACCCAATCGACAGCGGCCCCTGACCCCCTCCCCGCCGCTGAAACCCCAGCGGAGACCCTGGCAGCTCACGGGAACTCTGGGAAAGTTTCCCCTCCGCCTCCTCTGCACAAGCCAAAGCGCGTACGGGGCGTGGCTCACTTGCGAGGGCCGCGCCCCTTCCAGACGCGCGTTCCGATTGGCTCAGGGTGTCGTCCGTCAGCTCCGGCGGCGGGCGCTTCCCTGGGCTGCGGCGGGGCGGAGCTTGCAGAGGAAGTCATCGCCGTCTCTCCTAGCTGTCCAAGACGGAGGAGGAGCTTGCTGCAGGGGCGGGGGGGACGCTGGGCTGGGCGGACGACTCGGCGGTGGTGGCGGCGGTGGCGGCAGCGGGGACCTTGGTCAGGGGCGCCATAGTATGTGAGACTATAGACGTGGAGGACGGTGCGGGCTGGGCTCCGACGCGTGGGAAACTTAACCTTCTGGGGCCCTGCTCGGGGGTCCCGGCCTCGGGGGTGGGGCACTGAGCCCGCGGGCGGGGCGGGGCGGGGTCCGGGCTGAGGTTGGGTGTGGGGGCTCGGCCCTGCAGGCTGTGGCAGGTTCGGGTTTCGGGGGCCTGTGCAGGAGGGAGGCCGGGGAGCGTGGTGAGCTCCAGCCAGGCCCGCGCCCCCGTGCTGCTCCCTGGGGCCCAGGAAGGGCACCTATAGTTTTTTGCGGAGCAGGCACTGGAGATGCGGCTTTGGCTGCTGTCAAGCTGTGCTTTTCTCCTCTGTTTTGACCTTGTGCAAGTCATTTTATGTTATCCTGTTGCCCCTCTTTAATTGGTTGTCTCCTCTTCCCCTTTACCTAAACATAAAAAAATTAAAGTGACGTGGGAATGTCTTGAGCTTTGGGGCGGAGGGGCTTCACTGAGATCTGAGCAAGCTGTATGGGGTGATAGAAGAGTTTAGGTTAGGTGTTGGGTTCTTTACTCGAACTTATGAGAAACTAATCATTAAACCTCTTGGTGTTTTTAGTTCTTTTAGGGGCAAAATGGTAGTGGTTACTATAAGTCAGGCTTAAAAATGACTACCATTTAATTTGGTACTGTACTCTGGTTTACAGAAGCACTTGGCATTAAGTACCTGACCTGTCAACAACCTCTTAAGGCATCATTCTGGTTTTACAGTGGGGAAATTGAGGCCTAATGAACTTATGATTTTACCAGAAAAGTATAGGTAATAAAAGTCTTCTAGAGGGAAGGATGGGAGCAACTACTGAGTGTTTTCTAGTGCCTGATACTTGCTAACCTAAGATAAAATAAAAAAAGGCTGCTATGGCCCATGAAAACAAGTCCATTTTACTATAAGCATATCCAACTTCCTTAGGTTACTGTGTGATATGATACAGTCACTGGGGACAGAACTAGGTCTAAAATATCAACTTTGCTAAAGTTTATTGTTCCATTGTATCTTTTTACTCAAAGAAAGGTGCTTTGAAATGCACAGAGTTTTAGAACATGCCAAGCAATGTTCTTTTTTGTTTTGCTTATTTTGCTTTTGGTGGCACTGGGGTTTGAACTGAGGTCTCATGCTTGCTAGGTAGGTGCTCTACCACCAGCTCCTGAGCAGTGTCCTTACTGCTTCTGTTGAGGCAGTGCAAACTGGAAGCAGCGGCATCTGGTAGCTTCAAACTTTTGATTACTATTCCTCTCTGTCCCTCTTCCCCATCTTAACTACAAATGACCCCACTTTCTCTTCTCTTATGTCTACACATGGTTCACAAAAAGGATGCAATATTTGAAATCCAGGGTAATTGGGTACTTAATTGGTGTTCCAGTTCTCCTTCTGTCTGTCTTACGAACTTCCTTTGGTATGGATCTCCCTTTCTGTGGCTAGATGATAATGTATGTGAATTTATCCCTAGCTCTTATGATTTTTCTGGAGCAAAGCCTGATCTGGAGAAAGGTAGGCATGTGTGCAGTAAACTTATGAATGGGGCTGTTTCTGGGGTCTCTATCACTCCCCCCTTGTTGACCTGCCCATTTCTTTAGGACAGGCTTTTGGAGTTTGTGGTCTGGCCTTTACCTTCTTGATTCAAGTATAGTTTTCATTGGTGTTGTGATTTGCTACCTGACTCTTTCCTTTCTCTTGTGCTGCATTTCATGGATATGTAGAACTTAGCAGTGGTTGTACTGGTCATTTGATGTATTTCCTGATTTGTGAGTACACCAAACTATTTGACTTTGAATTCTAATTTTATATGTGTTGTTATCACCTTTTTTCTGCTTAAGGTATTCCTCTTTCCTTCCCAGGCTGCCTTTTATTTGGAAATGGAATTTGGATTCTGTCTTTGCTCTTCTGACTGTGAAATTACTCAGCTCCTCGAAATTTATCACCAAAGCATTTTAAATCCTAGACCTTTAGTGGTTATTCACATGCCTTTTGAGGAACAATCTCATATTTCAAAGTCCTCCTGGAGCTTAATAAAGTATGCCACAGATACCTTTAAAGCAGAACAAATCAGGCATGGTGATACAGACTTGTAATCCCAGCTCTCAGAAGGTTGAAGCAGGAGGAATTTGAGTTTGAGGCCAACCCGGGCTACCTATTGAGACCCAGTCTCCAAAAACCAAAAACAAAACAAATAAAACCAAACTGCTTTCAAAACTGAAACTCACTGTAGGAAAAAATGATTAAAAAAATACTATTTCTTCTTTACTCTTTAATATAGAAAATGACAGTACCTTAATGTTCTGCTAGAAGTTTCAATTATCCTTGCCATTCTCTCTTTCTCATCCTTTCTCTTTGTCTTGTCAAAACTAAACACCTTATTGGTATTCACCTACCAATTTCTGTTGCTCTCAATCTTTCACAAGTCTAGCCTAGACTACATTGGTACTAGTTACTTTCTGACTTGTTTTCCCAACAATCTAATGTCTATCTGAATTTGTGTAATGACCTCGCTTAACAAACTGCATGATACCCTGAATTGCCTATACAATAAAGGACAACTTCTTTTTTTTTAAATAAGTGTCATATTTCTATGTAGTAAGAAATTTCATCATGATATTTCCATACATACATATGCTGTACCTTGGTCATAATTTCCCCTTCTCTCCCCCTTTTCCTTTCCTCTTCTACCTCCCCAGTAGTCCCTCTTTTACTTTCATGACCTTGGATTGGTTTGTTTTGTTTCCCATTAGCTTCCACAAGTAAGAGAAAGTGTGGTATTTGTCTTTGAGGAGCTGGATTACTTCACTTAACATGATGATCTCTGCTTCTGTTTTCTAGAAAATAATTTCATTCTTCTTAAGGGATGAGTAAAACTTCATTGTGTATATATACCACATTTTCTTTATCCACTCTTCTGCTGATGGGCACCTAGGCTGGTTCCCTAACTTGGCTATTGTGCCTCTATAAACATGGGTATGCAGGTGTCTCTAAGCTGATTTTGATTCTTTTGGATATGTTCCTGGAAATGGTATATGGCTAGATCATTGGGGAGTTCTGTTTTTAATTTTTTGAGGAACCTCTCTACTGATTTCCATAGTGGCTGGACTAGTTTATATTCCCATCAACAGGAAGATTTCTTTTTTTGCTCATATGTGTTTTATTGATGATGACAGCCATTCTGACTGGGGTGAGGTAGAATCTCAATTTGATTTGCATTTCCCTGATGAAGGCCAGTTTCTGTTAGAGGACCTTTGTAGTCTGTGGCTCCAAATTTCATTTTCTCACCTTGTTTCCCATCTTGTTCTGAAGAAATGCACCTGTTCTGTGATACCAATGCTTTGCTGTGCGTCTGTGTTTTTGCACATAGTGTTTATTGTGCCTAACTGAATCCCATTCATCTTTTAAGGCTCAACTCTTCATAAAGCCTCTTCCCACTTTGCTAATTCTATTTACTTTTCTTTACTCTCATAGCACTTTGCTTATGTATTTATGTAGCACTTATATAGCTTTATGTTTAGCAGTTTGTTTTGGTAGCCTCCTTATGGTCAGGCATATTTATTTTTGTACACTCAGTATCTAAAAGAGAATTTAAAAACAAGAATACCATAAGGAAGTCTCTCATGGGGTTTATAATGAATCTGGGACATAGTAGATATATAAAAGTGGTTGTGGAATGAATTAATAGTAGAAAAGACATTTAAATATATAGAGATTTTCTGGACAGTAAATAGTGGTCTTTTCTTCCTTTTATCATTCCTTTCCTTGTGAAGAACATACAGAGCAAACAGCTCAACCCATCCTTGCTTGCTGTAATGAGTGAGTGCTGCTTCTGGGGAAGTAGAAGGTAGTTCAGGGTGTGAGATGATTGGGAAAGATTGAGCCTACTGACTTGGACCCCATGGATTCAGAGAGAAGCAAGATGTGATGGCTGGTAGCAAGCTGGGTTTGCATCAAGAGTGAATACCTGAAAGTGGAACTAGAGCTGTGTTGTTTTCCCTGTGTGTGTTTTTTTTTTCCTTTTAGAGTTAATTTGGACAAAACATTTTGAAATATCTCCATTTTGAGTCTACAATAAATAGTAAAATTTTTCTTATAGATAATGTTTTCTATATTTCTTTGGTCCTGAAAAAAAGTGATACAGGAATTAAATTTGAGGGTTGTGTTACTGGGGTTTGAACTCCCAGCCTTGCCTGTGCTTGGGGGTGAGCCATGCTCCCAGCCCTTTTTTTGTTTTAGTTATTTTTTAGGTAGGATCTCCTGTTTTTGCTCAAGGCTAGCTTTGGATTATGATCCTCTGGATCTCTGGTATCTGCCTCCTGAATAGCTAGGATTATTAGGAATGAGCCAACATGCCTGGCCTTTTTTCTTTTTAAGACAGGGTTTCACTAGGTAGCCTAAGTTAGCCTTGAACTTGCTATGTAACTCAAAATCATGATCCTCTTGTCCTAGCCTCCTGGAATTGTAGACTTGTGCCATCATGCAGCCAACTTGAACCTTTTCTTTTTCTATACTGCGGATTGATTCTAGTGCCTGGTGCTTGCTTAAGCCTTGCCCCCCAGCTAACATGAGGTTTTCAAAACTCCATAGCTTTCTGGACAGTCTTCTATGTCCAGAAATGTTCCAGTAGGAAGCACACCAGATATGGGCAATCTGAAAACCTAGGTTCTCATCCTGGTCCATCATTTATAAGCCATGTTGTGACTTCAAGTAAGTCTTCTGAGCCCCAGTTTAATTGTGGCACAATCGTGGGATTGCTTGAAGATTGAATTAGAATTTAAGAAAGAACTGGCAAAACTGTAAAGCACTGAGAAGCTTTAGGATAGTTTAGGGCTTCAAAGCCAAGGAATACAGCCTCAATTTGAAAAGAAGTTCTATAGTTGCACAGTCATTCATTTAACCATCAGTTACTTATGAAGCAATATTTTGGGTGCTTGGGTAAGTAAGTTCCTCATTCCTTCTTCCCACTAGACTATAGAGCTTTGCCTAGGAAGGAAGACATATTAAACAGGTCCTTATACAAATAATTGCTATTAAGATAACAATATTAGATAACAGTATAGTGAAGATACATTGAAACAATAATTCATGAAAGACACACATAAGTACATACTTGAAAAAAGCATTGTTAAAGTATCTCAGAGACATACAGCATGGTTTTATTACTGCTTCCTGGCTTGAGTGAGTAGTTTTATGGTGCTGGGAGTTGAGGGACAACACAGTGAACTGTGTTTAAGTTGGGCTCTCAGGTTTCACAGACTGCAATTGAACTATCAGATACCAGAATCATTGTAATAATGGGCTGTGTTGCAGTGTGCCTCTGTTTCCATAGAAAGCCCTAGAGGCCAGGTGTCCATGTGGC